CGGCAAACTGGATTTCGACAAACTGGTTGGATACCTTCTTGAATACTATTGCAATCGGCGAGAATGCATCCTTGTCACTGAAAGAGCAGTCGTTGCTACTGTATATCTTATTTTATGACAACGGAGAGAGGGTCATTCTAGACACAAACACTGGCAAATACCGAAAGTTGTTCAAATTAAGTGGCATTAACTTTCACCAGCGAAGAAATCATCCATTATTGGATCTCGTGCTTCTGTAGTCAAAGGCAAAGTTTTGTTGACACTTTCTGATAACTTTAAAGTTTTAGATGTTCTGTCACAAAAGATATCTAAATAACTTGAAGACTGCGCATGGAGTTAAGGGGAAAAGTGTAAATCAAGCAAGATGTGAAATTTTCAATAGAGGCAACAAGATCACAGACATATAATAATAATAATAAGATTTATTAAGCGCACATCTCCACTAAAGTGCTACATATCATTGCTACCACCATGTTTGCAAGCAGACCCTTGAGCACTTGAGCAAATTTAATCGCTAAAGAATGGAAATTAAGCAGACGTAAATGATTTGGTCAGTAAAAATAGTATTCACAACAGATGGAATGATCAAATGAAGCAAAAAAAGATTGAGACAGTGATGCACATGGACGTCCAAGAACTGTTTATAATAAAGACGAGGACTTTCAGATTGCAGTGATATTAGCAATACATGACGATTATTGCTCAACATAGGGTTACACAGTAAAGGACAATTATGAAATAAATGAATTAATGCCTTTATACATGAAAATTATGGTAGTTACTTGTGTGGTCCTCTGGAATACCTTGTGTAGTACACAAAAATAATGAAAAACAACCGTAAGGAAGCTGGATTGTTTTTTAGGATTCTGGTGATATTTTCCATTTCTCAAAACAGAAAAGGGCTAATATAAGGGGGCATTTTTACTTAAATTTCCAAAAATGAGTTAGCTTACCACCCTAAAATATGTTATTTTGTGTTTAAAAAGTCAGCAGTTATTTCATTATGTTTTGTAAATTAAACAAATTCATTTAGGGTATTTAAGCTGCTGTTAAATTGTTCTTTAATTGGCGGCCATTTTAAAAAGCGCCCTCAATTGCCTCCCGAAATCTTCAAATTAATAACTTTAGATAGTTATACTTTACTCCTATCATTACATATTCAAAAGTTGGTCAAACCTACCTCTTCTGTGCTTATTTTACCCATATATATGAGGTTTATTGGATTTTGGCGGCCATTTTGAAAAAAGTGCCCTCACGCAAAAGTTCTCAGGTTACGCCTCTTTTACCTCACATATTCTGATTCCCCATAAAAACCATATGAGAATTTCTACCTCTCCAAGTGGCACCTATCTCAATTATAGCCTGGTCTATATTCCTATTTATCGATAACAGTAAGTCAAACAATATTGTACTTTTTGATGTTCTAGTTTCCCAGAACTGTACATCGTTATCGTTCTCGTTTCACCGCTCATCGCGGGTGATCTGCAATGCAATGCCAGTCTTGAAAAATGACGTCACGCACATTCTGGCACTTCATTGGGTGATGGTGATGTAATGCCATTTACCGTACCTTTAGCAAATTGAAGTAGAAATACGGTACCGTATCTCTAGCCACGGCGTATAAATAAATGTCTTAAAAATATACTTGTAGATGATTTTGAACGTGATGACGAGGGTAATAATAATGAAAACTGATAAGGGAGAGAGGTTTTTTTTTTTTTGTTTTTTTTTTGCTAACCCAGGCCCCATTCTACCGATGTTCGCAAGTAAATCAATAGTTAGGGACAAATAGGTCTATATAAAAAATGTCATAAGAATGGAAACACAATTATATTAAAAAATTATGTTTTTGTTGTACCATTAAACATATTTGCAAGAAATCCTGAAGTGAAAAAAGATGGAAAAACGACCGTTTAAAATAAAAATATATGTTCATTGAAAAAAAAAAAAAAAAAAATCAGAATTTCCCCAAATGTGATGAGATAGGGGGTGGGGGGATAATCTAATAATTTTTTATGGGGCCTTATGAGCTTCCATTATGGTTGGTTGAAAAAAAATCTTCCCGTTGAGCATGGTCCATCAAATATCGGTATATTTCAATCGACCTTACTGAAAAGTACGGGAAAAAAATACCATAGGCGTCCAGAAACTACACCCTTACTTTGAAAATGTTATTAAATGTGTGTGATGAGGATTATGAAAATTATGGTGATAGATAATGGTGATGTGGAAAATTCCAAAAATATCGGTATATTTTCAATCTATAGACACTTACTGAAAAGTGGGGGTGGGGGGTGGTATTATGTCCCACTTACTTTAAAATGTTGAGGGGATGTATTACATTTGTCCCCCACCAGTCGACGCCCATGTTTCTTTCTCTTTCTTTTTTTTATTTTTATTTTCTTTTTTCATTTGTTTTTAATTGTTTTGGCCTATATAAGAGGAGAGGGGGGGGTGCACCAGCTGGGCCTCCTCCAGATAAATCCGCCTCTGCAAGTTGTATCAGGCCGAGGCAATAATTCGTAATTTCTAATTCAGTAATCCAAAATTTCGAATTAGTTATTCAAAATTACAAATTATTACTTTCGAAATTACGAATTAATAATTCGAAATACAATTTAGTTATTCGAAATTTCGAAAGTAATTCGAAATTAGGATAGTATTACGAAATTTTGTATTAGGAATTCGAAATTACGAATTAGTATCCTGCCTAAATTTTCCCGATTATCTGGATGTGGCCGTAGGTAGCGAGACTGAAGTTCAGCGGGTCAACAACTCTTGTGTTAGCCCTGCTTTTTTTCTCCATGATGGTTAGCCTAGCTTAATGATGATGTTCAATCATTTCGGCCGCCGATGAATTCGGCCGCCTGGTTTGTCTCGCCAAAAGTTATAGCCGTAGATAAGGCCGGTTAATAGTATAATGTTATATAAATGCAGTGAAGCGTGGTAAAATAATTCAAGCGGTGAAATATTGGATTTTCTAAAGAGGAGCACAAGCTGCATGCATGCTTTCGGCATTGGGGGTGTGAAAAATGAGAATGCGGGACTAGATCCCTATTCCAATAAGTTTTTAGTATTTTAACCAGGGCCTAGTGGAACTAATTTGCTGCCATGGGGTGGGGTGCCTACACCAATGCTCTATTCAACAAGCTGTAGCTGAGTTTTGACTGGAAAATCCTATCTTGCATGTTATGATATATTCAAAATTGTTATGCAATATCTCCAGAATCTATTTCAATTATCCCTGCACGAATTTAAAACAAAGCCCAAAAAGAATAAATAAATAAATAAATAAATGAATGAATAATGATTGAATGAATGAATGAATAAATAAATAAAACAAAATAAAATAAAATGAATGGTAATTGTTGCTTTTTTGTGAGATCTATCTAAAAAATATTTAATTATTATAATAAGCTTTTTGGTGAGCTTACAAAGTAGGATGGTGACAGAACTCTAGAACAAACTCTTTGAAACTGAGCGTGAAAACAACATGCTCAACTATCAATTGACCTTGATTTTCGTTTGACCATGATTTTCTATTGAAGATGAAGATGGAACAATTAAAAAAAAAATTACCAAAAGATTAAAAAGATAAATTTAAATTACAGATAGCACTTTAAAATACTAGATGAAAAACAGGGGGCTTAGAATATCCAATTTGTTTGGAAATTCCATTAACATTTAATAAAATAGTTCAGTTTGTATGTTTTTTCCATCAAATGAATAGGTCTACTATGGCAGATAACAATAGCATGGCAGCATTGCAATCTACAAAGTTTCCTACATGCTCAAAATGCATGAACAGAGGTTGCGGTCTAAAGTTGAATTGCATCCATTCGATTTGTCTACAATGTCTTCAAAGCTTGTACATCGATGACCAGTTCATCAACTGTAATCTTTGTCAAGAGGACAAGGGTCCAAAAGAATGTATTTCTACTGAGCATTCAGTTCTCGATGCATGTAATGTTGCAGATCATGTATTGATTAATGAGGAATTTGTTGTTAAATTAACGACAAAAAGTCACTTCCGCAATACAGAGTACTATGAGGATTTGAAGATAACATGCAAGGTAACGTTACCCTCATCAGATCCAGTAGTTGAGAAATATTTCAGTGTTAAGGACCATGAGAATGGGACTTGCAGTCTTTCTGGACGCTGTGGTGTGGTCGGTGAATGGGAGCTGTGGTGTTATGTAAATGATGTGAAAATCAGGCAGTCACCCTTGAAAGTAAATGTAGTCAAGGGAGGTTTAGAGGACAATCCACATTTATTCAGAGAGAGAAGGAATGCCACTGCTGGTATGTATATGTTTGATATAGTTGGTGACACAATTTATGCTTGTGGAGGGGATAATGAAATTGCAAAATTCACAGTAAAAGGGAAACTCGTAAGCACAATATATGGCCCTGGATCCTGCCATTTTACAAGTTTATGCTGTGCAAATGTAGAGGGCGTATTGTCGATCGTGTGCTATGATGCATCTACAAAAATACTTATGATTTACAAGAAAGATAACTGGCATAATTGGCAAGACGCTAAGATCGAGTCTGTTGCTGGTAAAATGACGTCACATGATAATAGGATCTATGTTCCTGATTTTGGGAAAAATTGTGTATTGTGTTTTTCTATTGAAGGCAAATTGATAGAAAAGATAGAAGATGTACATTATAAGACAGTGTCCTTAACAAAACCAATTGGTGTCGCTATCACAAAGAAAGGAGATATGTTAGTCCTTTTATTTAGCAACTCTCAGGTTGTACAGTTTGACAACGATAATCGTAAACCTACAATTTTGTTAAAAAATACCAAGGATGAACAACTGTTATTCAAACCACTTGCTATTGCCATTGATGAACGTGGCCAAATCATCATTGGTTCACAGAAAAAGCTACTGCTGTTTAGTAAAGAAGGGAAATTTATTAAGCACATTGAAAAAATACAGCAACATCTCCCGGAATATCCATATTGTATTTTTAGCAAAAATAGACGCGTTTGGGTTGCAGATAAACACGATTCTTCCCTCCGGATCTACAATTATTGAAAACATTCAATAACACTCTACCATTCAGTGAAAAAAATAATTTGTTCATTATAGGTCTGCTAAAAAATGTAACTGTAGAGTATATTATAACAAATTAGAAAGAGTATTATATAAGGGCCTAGTGATAACTTTCAATATCTTATATTAAAATGTAAAAATAGTACAATACAAATACAAAAGCGTAGTCATTTCCGACTAAAGTGAATGAAGACATGTGATTCGTCTGATAGTTGGAAAGGAAAATATTCTCTGACTCTAATTTTTAATTGTATTCATAAGTTAAGCGAAATACTGATTTGATTAGCTTGATGTAAAAAGTATGTAGCAACATAAACCATGAAGAAAAGTATGTAAAATAAACTAGTAGCCTAAGTATAAACGATTATACTATTATATTGTAAATACCAAAACATTGTAGCGAGAAAAGACAGTAAAATCACTAAAAAAAAAGATTTTTTTTTATAGAAAAAGTGCACATATAGGGCCTACATTACTCTAATTATTATAAACCATAGAAAAATTTTAGAGTACATTTTAGTTTTTTGCAAAAGAATAAAATCTCCAATTTCTCATAGGAGATTACTCTTTTCTCGACGACTTCTTCGTTACTAGGCAAATTGTATCCGACTGCTGGAATGCCCTCGTTTTTGTGTATACTGCAGTCAGAGCTACAGTCAATAAAGCGCGCCCTCTCTAATGAGATTCGTTTTTGTACTTCGAATCTCGTACACTGCGGTCGATCGAGTAAGCCATGTTTGTTTAATTGTCAAAATCTCGGTCAGAATAATTTTTAAAACAAATTTGAAATATTCCTATGAAATGTTATATTTCACAAGTGTCAATACTAGTAACGGAACTTAAATCGAGGTAAGGCTAGGCCTAGCCTACAGTGTTGGATAGGCTAATGTTTCCGGCGCGTACTATATTTCTTCGCAGACCCAAGGTAATTCAACAAAAGGACGCACATCTCGGGACATCAAAGGCTATGTTCAGACACAAAAATAAGATACGAAATAAATACATAAAACAAAGGCAACAGAAGGACGCACATCTCGGGACATCAAAGGTTATAACTCTGGCATCGCCATTCTAGGCGCACGTGCGTTTCTACACGCTGAACGTCACAAAAACCATAGCAACCAGACCAAAAACCGTCAGCGTACGTGACGATTTACCCACGCGCGTGTTAGTTGCCATGTTAGTCGCGCGTCGTGCGGTGACTAATAATTGACGGCTGTACTCGCAACTAGTACCGGATTGTCGATGCCACAGTAAAGATCAAAGGACTGTACGCACGCGCTATGTTCGAGAGCGGAGATGTGCGTCCTTTTGTTGAATTACCTTGGCAGACCTATCGCAAAATCAATCATAAAAAAAATCATCCGCGCTTATTTTTTGTGTTGTTGAACACACACACACACACACACACACACACACACACACACATCAAATTTAGTGACGTCAACACAACCGAAAGGAACGATCATTAAGTTTTTCAGGGTAGCCTAGATAATTGTACTTGATTAAATTTGTATTTTAGAATGTAGTTTGATGTGTTGTAAAAAAGAATACGCTTTATTAATAATATTTATTCAGTAAAGCTGGCTTGCGTCTATTTCAGACTTTATTGCTTTGTTTTTACAGTATTTGCAAAATAAAAACCTGAGAAAATGAATCAAAATGAAAAAGTGTTGTATTTGTAGTCATTATTTTCCGTCTAGTGAAAATTTGTTTAAACTTTTTGTGAATGAAATAAAGTATACTGTAGTGTACATAAAATATATATTACGCCATGATTCATTTTTATATGAAATCTAATCAAATAATATAAAAGGAATGCCAGCTGACAAGATTACGGTACCATCATCCTTGGTGACAGGCTGTATTTAAATAATTTTAAGCTATGTGTCTATTTCTGGTTATTAACGTATGTTTGCATTTTAGTCTCTGATTTGATTTGATGTATTTAATATGCTCTTTAAAAAATGCAACAGAAATAAATGTGGATGAACAGATCAAATCACAAAAAAGCATATCGGGGATAACCCTAAAATTGCGAGAAAAGACAATTATTTCCATAGGGGTCCCCTAAATTCTTCTTGTCAATTATGTATCTATGTTTTCGCTTGAGAAAATTAACGGATGTGAATATCAGATACCTTGTCCTTCAATATGTCGATAGATGGTGAATCAACAACCAAAAATAATAGGCCTACTGTATAAATATAATAAGTAAAACATTAAAAATAAGGTGGGTAATGCAGTCTTATACGAAATCGACAATAAATTTAAAATTACAATATGATACAAAGCTAACCAATAAATCAAAATCAAATTTCAATGAGAAATTAAAAATAGGTCTCTATCAATTATAATACTAAGAAAATACCAATCAAATCAATTAGAAAACTGCAAGCATCCGCTTATCGTTTAAGTGAACAAAATTAAAGCGAGAAATAGGATAAACGAAATCAAGGAATAAAAAACGTAAATGCAAAGTAAATAACAGGCTAAAAGTTTCCTATTGTTTTGTGGCTACTGAGCCCTGACAAATTTAGTGACACAAGGTCTTAAACAAAAGGATAAACTAAAATTCGCTTATTGCCGGGCCCCACATTGGGCGCCAAATTTTATGTAGCGGGTGACCACTACTTGAAGTAAGCGAATCCGTCACTTAATTCGTCGTGGGGGCTCGGGTTCCAGTTACGCGCAGGCTCAGTCGGTAGATGTTTACATATATATATATGGCCACAAATAAAACAAGAGGAACCTTTTCTAGTTATATGCTTAATAATGATTTATTGGGCAATGGGGATTACAAATAGGGACTTATAAATTGGACCTAACCTAACCTAACAAACTACTCACGTGAGACCGTCGGCAATGCAGCGTACGCTTGTAGACAGTAAAATAATAATAAATGCAAGTCCAACAAAAATAGAGTTTAGAATATACGGCAAAACAGCGAGTTCCAATGATATACGGTAACAAAATTCAGTTCCGAAAGATGTTCAAAATCGCTTCCACTTGCAATCGTCTGGTTGCACTTGGTACCGCTATTTGTTACAGCAAATAAAACTGTTCTTCTGATCCAAGTCAAGAAAATATTGAAACCAAAAGAGTAGTAATTCTTCTTCCTTATTAATTCAGGAAGGTTTCCAGTCAACAACTTTCTGAAAAAGATTCACATTTATCCTAAGTCTATCCGACTATAATAGGACTATACTTCTGTGTGCTGGAGTTCCGATCGGGACCTCTCAGTGTTCCTTCTTCTCTGCTGTGTCTTTTTCCTTCTTTCCTGTTCTCCTTGTTTCCTTGGATATTCTGGATATATGTAGGGGATCTGGCTCCACCCTACTCTTTCGAATATTCAATTATCATTGGTCTTTTAGCCTCAGGCAACACCCAAAGTCACTGTCCATTCCCGATTTCCAGTGTCTGGTAATAAATCATTTGATGTTGACAAGACGTTTCCTTTACTTCCTCAGGTATGTCGACAGCATACCACCACCACCCAACTCTCGGGAGAGGGTTAGCTGGTGGTATCTATTTGACTAGGAAATGGAAATGGAATGTTCAATGGGTCATTAACCTACAGGCTAAAACAGTATTGCATTGTATAGCCTCTTTGGATACGGGATAGTGGATTAATATAAATAAATAATATAGAATATATTTAAAGGTACTTAAGATTAACTTAAAAAATATACAAAAATACACCCT